TACAAGTTGTCATAGATTCCTCAATGTGCAACTGGGCTTCACCTGTCTGGCACCACACAACTGGGCCCAGCTCAGCCAGCATCATACAGCTGGGCCTGGGCCAGCAACTGGCACTGTGCAATTCATCCAGATTTTTCCCAGGGACAAGCTGGTGGGAAATGAGGGAAAATTTAAGATTGGGGGGGGGGGACATATAAAGGTAGGTTGGCTGGTGCGTGGGAAGGAGAGAAGGAAGCCACCTTGAATCAAGAGGACAGGAGGAAAAAAAATATTTTAATAAACATAAATAAACAGTTAAAGGGGAAAGAGAAGGGGGCTTTCAGGGAAGGAAAAGAGGAAATAGTGGGGGAGGGGAAATGAGATTCCCCCACAGGTTCTTACAGGTCCTCTGCATGTATGAATATATGTGTAGGTGACATTGCATATACGAAACCTATACTTTATTCAGAGGTATAACAGAAGGCCGTCTCAAACAAGCTTGATATACTGTGTTATAAAGAGCTGGTTTTATACTAAAATAAGACCATGGTGCTATACAAATAGTTTAAATAATAGCTTATTAACCTGGCATACTAATGAAACAACAAGAGATAGGAATACATATGTAATCTATTGACTTTGAACAATGTACATCTCTCTGACTCTTTCTGGAGTTAGTAATCCATCAAACCCATTAGAAGCACCCCCAGGCATCCCAAGTGCCTTCTTTCTATTCATATTTCTGAAGTGTTTGTTCAGTTCCTGACAGTATACAATTCTCTGTGCTTGATACCTGATGCAATTCTCTGTAGAAATTTAAGCACACCTACACATGAAATTTTTTAAATGTAGCCAGCATTAGCGCACCTCCTTTTATACATCTCATACAAAATCAAGGGAAGAAGAAATAAGTGCTGTTTCCCATAAGACAACTTTCCTTCCCGAATACCCCTGTAAGTAGAACAATTGACCTATGCGATAGTCAGGGTGCCATCCTAAGCAGAGTTCTATCCTTCTAAACCCATTGATTTCAGTAGAAGGGTGTCACTGCTTAGGACTGCACTGTATACACAACTTTATCTTGCTATGAATCTAAACCGTTAAATAGTCTTGTGCTTCTTTTAAACACATTACAGTGCAAGTGTGGTTTTCTGTAGGCCAGTAGCTGCACCACTCCTCCTGGATCATTGATTTCCCCCACCTAAGTAGGAAAAATGGCTTATAAATTTGAGGTATTTCCCTTTACTGGTTATGAAAAGCTGCCGGTACGCCCTCCCTCCCTCTCCCAAGTGGTAGTGCTCTAAATTCCACTCTGCTCTGTCCACCCAAGATTCCTCCTGGTGTGTATCACCCTAAGATCATGCTTAAAAGCCAGTGTAGAGCAATGGTCAGAGTCAGATTAGAATCTGGGGGGGGGGGAGGGAAGAGAGTTGTTAGCTGTATCAGCCTCAAAGCAAAATCCAAAACCCAAATCCATGAAATACTTTTCAGGGCCAACCAAAACAACACAACACATTATGTATAACTGAAATCTGGAGGACCTGGGTTCAAACATGTTCATTTTACTGGGTAACTTTCAGGCCATCATTCTGTCTTGTCTTGGCCTACCCAACAGGACTGCTGTGCCTGTGAGGATAAAATGGAAAAGGGAGTGAGCAGTGTAATCGATTGTTAATTGATGGGAACCGGACGATAACCAAACCTGTGGGAAAGGGAGTGTCATGGAGGAACAGTGGTATAAAAATATACACGTAAACCTTTGAAATCTTTCCCAAAAATACACGGGGGAGTATTAAATCCCCTGAAAAGTAAAATATTTATTAAATTTGATTTGCTAGGCCACCCTTCCCTACAGGTAGGGGTCAGGTCATCTTACAACAGAATAATGTACAAAATTATTTAATTTAAACATTAGAACTATCTAAGAACAGAACAGTAAACAGGAACAAAATATGTATACAAGATGGCAGCAAAAGTCAACTCCCCCTGCCTCTTTAGGGGGAGGGATTGCAAGGGATGGGGAAGTATATGAGACTGCCTGTCTCTAGTCAGCATCTGTTTCACTTCTGAAGGTAAGGACACAGAGAGCATGGCTTGAGAGAGGCAGATCTTAACTAGTGGGCTAGAGATTGGTTATTTAAGAGAGGAGCTTGTTATAATATATTTATCTATATAATATTGTAGCACGGAGAAAGGGGCCTAAGCCCAAGCACAGACCACCAGATCAACAGAAGGAGAAGAACTTTATTGGCGCCGGTTCAGTCAGCGAAGCACGCTTTAAACAGACTGAACCCAGAGCAATGCAGGCTCCAGGCTTTTATACTGCAACAAGGTTACACGTCATCATTTACATCACCAGAGTGGAATTTTCCATTGACTAGGCTTACTTTTCCCTCCCAAACTACACAAGCTCACTTCTGCCCCCTTATGACTGGAACATGAACAGCAACTATCCCCTTATATGGGCAAGGAATAATAAATGCCTACTTCATTCCCCCCTTTCGGTCCTTTCTCTGGGACAGAGAGAGAGACCGACCAATAACATGGCATAGCATTTATTCCTTGCCTGGAGAGTATACAGTAACTAACAGTACTTTTCTTCTTTAACCTGTGGAAGAATTTATGCATTAGTGTTCAACCTGTTCCTTTTAGCAGTAACCAAATATAAAAGTTTAACAGTATCATTGTGAGCTAACATTGCATTAACTGTTTTGGTAGCTACATTCTTAACCAAAGGTATCAAACAAGGGAGAAGTAACAAACCACCAAAGGCTAAAGCTATTAAGAACAATATACGTTTCCAATCTCCAAGTATGTTTCCGAACCAATCTTCAGTATCTATTCCTGTCCAGGTTTGGACTGGGACATGGGCTAAATTACGCATATGTTCTGTAATCTGTTCAATAGCTTTACCATTGTCATCAATCTGTAAACAACAATTTGAAAGGTTAAACTTTCCACAAACTCCTCCTTCAGTTGCTAATAAGAAATCTAAGGCAAGTCGGTTCTGGTAAACAGCAGTGCGAAGTTGTGTGTTGGTTTCGGCTAATACAGACAGAGCCAGGGAAGTTTCATTAGTTATGATTTCTAAAACCGCTTGTAGTCTAATTATTCGATTTAGCATATAAATGGGGGTTCTATAACCATATGTACCATCAGCTGCCCAGGTAGCTGGACCATATACTTGAATAATACGTTCTGGAGGCCATTCATCATCTTTCCAGTTACCTACAGCTAATCCCCGTATTTCTCGCTTTGAGCGTCCTAACTCATCATATACTGGGACTCCTAACCTTTCTCCGACAGTGAGGGGTAGGAGGAAAAAGCTAGGTTTTATAGTACCTAATATACAAGCACCATTCCATGTAAGGGGCAGGGTTGCATAGGCAGCTGAACCACATATCCAGTATAAGGAGTCTGGAGCTCTCCATTCTTTAGAAGTGCTACAGGGGTTGTCCCATAGGACTTGTAAACGACTCATATTAACATAAGGTGGGGCTTGGGTGACATTCGGATTAGCAAAATTAATATAGGCTTTAGGCTGGGTGCCATTACAGAACCATCCTTCTTCACAATCTAGGGCTCCCACTGAAATGTTAAAAGGAGCTCCCTGTCGTATAAAACAAGTATGACCAACTAAGGGATTTTTCAGGATCCATCTACTGGGGCGGTGGATATTATTCCAGGAAAGGTTGAAAGCATGGGAGATATTATTAAGTTCTACCTCTTTGGCCTCCCAGGGCCATTGTTCTCCCATATTGGTACCTCCACAGACATAACAATTCTTAACTGATAGTTCTCCTGCAATTCTTTCAGCAAGATCGATAAATAGATTCTTGGTCACTGGGGGGATTTCTATTACTTTCCCCATTTCTGACCAAAAGGTTGTGTGAATCTTCATTTCAGTGCTTTGGATTTTTGAACTAATAGTTTCTATGACAATGCGTCCGTATGGACTTTTTCGACCACCAATATCTATGCCAACCCCATACATCAGTTTCTTTCTTCCCTGGTTCTCGGATGCTCGGAAATGTAAGCACAAGGGAGTGCAGTGGTTATGGCTGCAAGGGGTTAGACTAGTTCCCTGGGATAACTTAAAGTACGGGTGGGCTTTCCCTCCTCCCACTATTCCACCTTGAGGTCCATCTGAGATATTACCATCATTAGAGACATACCAGACTTGTGCTTCAAGTTCATAAGTTGATGACAGAAACATTTTCCCTTCTTTGGCATAGCTCTGCTCTTTAGCTAGCCCTCCACACGTTTGTCTAATTTCCCCTGCACTATACTTTCGACTTCGAGAGATGGCATGACATATGTCAAAACAGACTTGCATACTTTGACTAGACTGGGAAGTGACATTGGACGCTAAAAGGGAAGAGGTGAAAGTATCAGGACTTGTGTACCATCCACTAATATAAGCATAAACATTAATACGGGCCCGAGTCACATTGGACTGGGGTCGAAAGCACATAAATTTCCCTTGATTTACACAAACACTGTAACTTATGCCCTCATGAGAACATTGGGTAACTACAGACGAAATACAATCAAAGTCAGAATGATAAATGAGGGTTTGTGAGACTTGACCTTCACGAAAAGTGGAAGTAATGCAAGAGGTACAAGCAGGAAACCCCATAACTGGGATGCAGATCATAGAAGGTACAAAAACACAATTTAACAGAAGCATCCACATCTTGGGCCTGTGCGTCGACTAGTCAGCTTCCGGTGTGACTAGAGCAGGGCCTGATGCTCCAACGAAGGTCTGATTTTTCACCCGTGCGCAGGGAGACCGTTTCCGGTAGGTCTCAGCAGGGGTTCTGGAGTCAATCTTCAGCTGTGTCCTCTTGGGGCGTGGGCCCAAGAGAAGCAGAGCTTGCTGGATTACTGGGCACGACACGTCTAAGCTTCACAGTAGTAGGATTAGATCCTGGCTCAGCAGTCCATCTAGTATGGGCAAGCTTCAAATTCGTCCAGTGGATCCAGGGTTTCCTCTCAACGACCTTCACAGCTGTAGGGGAACTGAGTAAAACAGTGAAAGGTCCCTCCCACCTTGGCCCTAAGGGCTCTGGTCTCCAATTTTTAACCCATACTGAATCTCCAGGACTGACATGACACACAGAATCAAACAAGGGAACTGGGAGACAGGCAGAGTAATGTCTTTGGAGTTTCTCAACTTGTCGTCCAAGGGCTTGTAATTCTGCTGAGGTGATTAACTGATGAAACCCATAAGCATCGGTATGAACTCCCATGGTCAGTGGGGGAGGACGGCCAAACATTGCCTCATAAGGAGAAACTGAAGTTCGTTTGGAAGGGAGGCAGTGCAGTCGGAATAACACTAGAGGTAGAATCTTAGGCCATGGCTGTTCAGTCTCTTGGGTGAACTTCCGCAAGGAGGCTTTAAGAGTTCTATTAGCTCGTTCTACTGCTCCTGAACTCTGGGGACGATAGGCACAGTGTAATTTCCAGATGATTCCTAAGGCTTTGGCAACTTGCTGAGTTAATTCAGAGATGAAGGCTGGTCCATTATCAGAGGAAACCCAGGTAGGTAATCCGAATCTTGGAATTAGATCCCTTAACATGGCTCGGGCAACTTCTGAGGCCTTTTCAGTGGCAGTTGGAAACGCTTCTATCCATCCAGTATGCGTACAGACAAACACCAACAGGTAGTGATGACGACCAACTTTTGGCATCTCGGTGAAATCAACAACAAGCGAAGTCATTGGGGCTGGTCCTGGGGTATTGATTCCTGGAGGTCGTCGGGGACCTTCTCTAGGATTGTTTCGGGCACAGGTAACACACTGACGGCACACGAGGTCTGCTAATGCTGTCTTCCGTTCCAGATGAGCCCAGCGGTCTAAGGCTTTAACAAGACTGGAAGATCCATAATGGGTATTAGCATGAAGGGCTTTCATTATTTCATAGCCTAAGGAGGCTGGAATCCAAATTTTTCCTGTTGGCAAGATCCACCAACCTTCCTCATTCTTTTTTGCTGATTGCTGGTCACAGAGGTAGTCTTCATGTTTGGTGTAACGAGGCGTCCAAGCTGAGACTGGAGTGGGGAAGACAGGACAGGCTAAGACTGACGGACTAGGAACTAGAGTGCGGAGACAAAGTTTTCCTTCTGCTGCTTCCTTAGCTGCTTTATCAGCACGACCATTTCCTTCTGCAATTGGGTCAGACTTCCGTTGATGTCCTCGACAGTGGATTATTGCAATCTTAGTTGGCAGATTGATGGCTTCTAGCAGAAGACGAAGATTTGGCCCATATTTGATATCCTTTCCAGCGGCTGTAATAAATCCTCGGTGTTGCCACAGCATTCCATGTGCATGGGCTGCCTTGAAAGCAAACATTGAATCGGTGAATATATTTGCAGCTGCATTCTTGCTTAGATGTAGGGCAACTGTCAGGGCTATTATTTCTGCTAGTTGAGCAGATGTTCCAACGGGTAGAGATTCTGCTTGTATCACCTGATGGTCATCTACAACAGCATAGCCTGCTTTGCGACGTCCTTGAGGGTTGATGAAACTGCTACCATCACAGTACAATATTAAGTCTGGCTGCTGAAGGGGTTGGTCACGAAGGTCAAGACGAGATGCAAACAGCTGGTCAGTGGTTACTAGGCAATCATGCTCAACATCTTCACATGGTACTGGCAACAAGGTGGCTGGATTTATGTTGATGACAGGAGCTAGAGATACACCTGGGTTCTCGAGGAGAACTGCTTGGTACCTGGCCATACGTGAAACTGTCAGATATTTGTGACCACGAGCTTCTAAAATGGTCTTAACTCCGTGTGATACAAACACTGTGAGTGGGGCTCCCCAGGTGAATTTGTTTGCTGCTTCAATAAGTCTACAGCAGGCAGCAACAGCACGTAAGCAAGGGGGCAGACCGGCTTCTACAGCATCCAGGTTTTGGCTAAGGTAGGCCACAGGCCGATTGTGAGTCCCAAGTTTCTGGAGAAGGACACCTAAAGCAACACTTTGCTTCTCATCTACGCAAAGGGAAAAAGGTTTTTCTGGATCTGGCAGTCCTAAGGCAGGAGCCTCAATGAGCCGTTGTTTCAGGGTCCTAAAGGCAACATCTTGATCTGGGCCCCAGACAAAAGGTTCCTGTGTCCCCCCTTTGGTAGCTTCATATAAGGGTTTGGCCAAAAGAGCAAAGGAGGGAATCCATAACCGACAGTAGCTAGCTGCACCTAAGAAGCCTCGTAGCTCTTTGCGACTCTGGGGTAGAGGTATCTGGCACACAGTTTCTTTCCTTGCATTACTGAGAGACCGTTGATTCTTAGAGATTTCAAATCCTAGGAACTGGACTCGAGTTAAGCAGATCTGGGCCTTCTTGAATGAGACTTTATAGCCACAGGCATCAAGGAGACGGAGAAGGTTAAGGGTGCCCTGGGAACATCGATGAGGGTCAGGGGCACAAAGTAACAAGTCATCCACATATTGGATTAAGGTAAGGACCCCTTCTTGGGTGTCAAAGTTCTCTAAGTCTTTACCGAGGGCCTGTCCAAACAATGAAGGAGAATTTTTGTAGCCTTGGGGCAAACGAGTCCAAGTGTACTGACATGGGCTGGAGGCTCCAGGGGCTCTCCATTCGAAGGCAAAGATGTCTCTGGACTGGTGGTGAAGTCCAATACTGAAGAACGCATCTTTCAAATCCAAGACAGTAAACCATGCAGCCGTGGATGGAATCAGAGTCAGGATTGTATAGGGATTTGGCACTACAGGGTGGATAGCTTCTACTTGAGTATTCACTGCCCTCAGGTCTTGGACTGGGCGGTAATCAGGATTCTTGGGGTCTGGAGAAGGCTTAGGTACTGGAAGGATCGGAGTATTCCAGGCAGATTCACAGGGGATCAGGATGCCATCTTTCAGGAGTCTCTGAAAGTGTTTGGTTAACACTCTTCGGGCATCTTCACGAATAGGGTATTGACGCTCTCTCACTGGATTGGCAGTAGGTTTAAGGACCACAACTACAGGAGGTTGGTGTTTAGCAAAGCCTGGGGGATTATCTTCTGCCCATACAGTTGGCACTTCATTTCGGTAGTACAATTTATCCTGCACCTTTTCCTTGTCATAAAAAGCATCTTTATCAGTCTGATACTGGACTTCTTCAGGGTCACCATCAGGGTGTCTTCTAAATCCACATCCCATTAGGACCTCAGGAAGTCGCCACTCTTCTGTAGCATCAACCTCTAAATTACAACACACTAGTGAAGTTTGAGTCTCTGGAGGTAAGGACAGAAGTGCTGAGCCATCCGGAGTATCAAAGGTTATGGAGGCACGCATTTTAGATAAAAGATCTCTCCCAAGCAAATTAATCGGACAGCTGGGATTTAAGAGAAAACGGTGGGTGACCCGGTGACCTCCTAGAGAACAGGTTCTTGATTGGAGGTATGGGAGAGCAAGTTTCTTCCCTGCCATGCCTACAACTGTTAGGCTATCTTTAGTGGGCAGAGCAATGGGTGTCGTTACAATGGATACTTCAGCCCCCGTGTCTAACATGAAATCAACAGGATTTCCTTCAATATTTAAGCGGACCAAGGGCTCCCGAGGGCCACAATTGACAGAGCCCGGTCGCCCCTAATCATCATAGTTCATTCCGGCCATACCAACAAAGCCATCTTCCGACTTCCCTGCAGGGTAGGTGCGGCTGTACCGGCTTTCATTAACTTGCCCTCTTGGAAGGTGGTTAAAGCTCTGTCCTCTTCCTTGGCCTCTAGATCCTCCCCTCCCCCGGAGTCTGGACTGGCGGTTCGGACATTCGTTTTTCCAGTGGCCATCCGCTCTACAGTATGCACATTGGTCCCGGCCTAGGGTTCTAGGACCACGGGGCTCAAGGTTGGATGTTGGGGACGGGCGGTCATACTCATGGCCTTGGATCACTGCTGCTAAAATTGCTGCCTTTCGTCTATGCTTAGCTTCTTCTTCTTTCTTCTCTTCTTTATCTCTATTCACAAAAACCTTCTGGGCCACCTCAATTAATTGGGACACGTTCATCCCTTGGAACCCTTCTAACTTCTGTAATTTGCGTCTAATGTCAGGTGCAGCCTGGCTAACAAAAGATGCATTCACCATTGTACGGTTTGCTTCTTCCTCTGGGTCAAAAGGAGTGTAGAGGCGGTAAGCCTTGTACAGTCTTTCAAGGAAGGTATAGGGTGGCTCAGTTGGCTCTTGAATGACCTCCCTCAATTTAGCCATATTCATGGGCTTCTTTCCTGCTTCCTGGAGACCTAAGAGGATGGCAGTTCGGTATTCCTCTGATCTTCCTCTATCTGCATCTACATTGGGGTCCCAATTTGGGTCTATATCTGGGAAGCGGGCACGAACCCAGTCAGCTGCATTAGGCTGTTGGTCAGCAGGGACTCTGTTTTCAACAGTTTTCTTAGCAGCTGCCATGACTTTCCGCTTCTCTTCTGAAGTTAATAAAGCAGTAAGTAACTGGCTACAATCTCGCCAGGTAGGGGCATGTGTAGCCATAATTGTTGTAAACAGATCTGTCATGGGTCGGGGGTCTTCACTATATGGGGTCGTCTGTGTTCTCCAATTACAGAGATCGACAGTACTGAAAGGAGAATAGACCCATCTCATAATCCCATCCGCTCCTGCTGGAACTTGACGGAGAGGGCAGACTGTTGCTAAATTGCCAGTTTCCTGAGATTTGCCTACAGGCACTTTAAAAGGGTTCATTTCACTGAGTCCTGATGTAGGACTCCAATGAGTGGCGGGGCTCCAGGTCCCTGTTGTCGGATTTTTCTTAAGGACTGTCTTAGGTATGGGAGTGACAGGGGTCTCAGGTTCAGGAGCAGAGGCAGTAGCCAAACAGTCCACTAAGGATGGATAAATGGTGGAGACTGGCACTGAAGGGCTAAGCGCTTCACTGATTTGCAGTTCCTGAAGCTGCTCCTGGGCTGCAAGTTCTTGGGCGGCACGGGCCTGCGCAGTCTGTGATCTAGTCACTCTTGCTTCTGGGGGCGGAGTTGGAAGAGGAGGCGGTGGCAATGGCCCAGCAGAGTATGGTGGGGGCCAATCATCCTCCGGTGGCGGGCAAGTCACTTGGGGGCCTTGGGGCCTGCTTTCTGGGGTATTCAGGGTTGGACAAATTGCTGGCATAGTTCCTGGTGTTGGGCAAACTATAGGCTGGTTGGCTGCTGGGGCAGAGCCCTGTCGGGTTTTAAATCGCTTGGCCTTGGAAGGATTTTTCCTCACATATTCATACCAGCAGTAGACATAATGGAGCTGCTGATCGGAATGGTCCTCTTGGGGATCCGTAGCTGCCAGATAGACTCTGTGTAGCAGAGAGAGATCCATGGAGCCCTCTGGTGGCCATCCCACTGTAAACGCAGGCCAGTTTACCTCACAAAATGTCTGCAGACAGACTGGATTTAAAACTACGCCATGAGTGGCTGTGCCAAAAATTTCTTCAAAGTGCTTGAGCATAAACTGAAGAGGGGTTTTGGGCTTTGCCTGACTCCCTCCCATTTTGAACAGACAAAAGACAGACAGCTGGGTATACAGAGGGTGGGGTAAACAGGGAGAGTGGTAAGGGGTCCACTGCTCCTAGACACATAAAAGGGAGACCTTAACCACAAATGCTTCCACCTGTACCCGACTCAGATGCGATCTCTCGACTGAGAAATGCGAGCTTGAGGTGACCACAATTCAATTTGACTTTCTCCTATTACGGGAGTCCGCCTTTTCACACTCACACACCATGCATTCACTTCAACACAGATCCCACCCTGATCATAGGAAAGCCAAGGCTTTCCTAGCCTGCCTGACAGAAACTGACCCGATAGGAAGGTGATCAGGCTTCCTCTTCCCTTCAACTGAAGGGGACCGATACCGATTAATACTGACCTGACTCTGACCAGACTGGACTCCGGAGTCTTCCCCTGATGTTCTCCTCCTGGCTGAGTTCACTGAGCAAGCGACTTTGGTGAGAACCAGCCCTGGAGAGGAGTGAATGATCGGCTTTTCGAAATCGAAAATGGCGCCTTTGCCGCCGAACAGTCCTCAGTCAGTGCGGTTCTCTTCAAAATCGTGGCTCAGGAGGGCCCCAACAACCCGGCCTTGGTTGGGTGCTCCCCCCTTTCCCGGTCAGGGAACCAGAAATGTAGCACGGAGAAAGGGGCCTAAGCCCAAGCACAGACCACCAGATCAACAGAAGGAGAAGAACTTTATTGGCGCCGGTTCAGTCAGCGAAGCACGCTTTAAACAGACTGAACCCAGAGCAATGCAGGCTCCAGGCTTTTATACTGCAACAAGGTTACACGTCATCATTTACATCACCAGAGTGGAATTTTCCATTGACTAGGCTTACTTTTCCCGCCCAAACCAAACAAGCTCACTTCTGCCCCCTTATGACTGGAACATGAACAGCAACTATCCCCTTATATGGGCAAGGAATAATAAATGCCTACTTCAATATTTAAGAGGAGTGCACTGCTCATTATAGTTTATTTACTAAAATATTATTTATATCCCACTTTTCTTCCCACTGGAGACCAAAGTGGCTTGTAACCAATGCTCCCTCTAAGCTGTGGAGTCTTGTGAACAAAAATTCTACTTTGTGAGCTACTGGCATTAAAGTTGTGAGCAAGCGATTTGGCTAAGTAGCGATTTGGCTACTTAGGTTCCTGAGCTAAGACAAAAATGTGTGAGCCAGAGGCTAAAAAACTGTGAGCTAGCTCACACTAACTCAGCTTCGAGGGAACACAGCTCATAACCCCATGCAATATAACTAAACAAACAAATAGCATCAAAAATAAAGTTCAGTACAGCAACTCCAGGGCAGTTCCAGGATCCACTTAAGGTAACAGGCTGTGAGCTCAAAATCCCTTTGATTTTTATACTTTGGCGACCTGGCAGCTTTGTAATGATTTAGAGTGATCTTGTCTTGAAATGGTGACTGGTAGCCTATCTTAAGAACCTTTTTTCAACTTTTATTCAACGTTGTTGAATCTTAATAATATAAAACTGACATTGGTGGTACAAATGAACAAACACAAATTTATAAAAAGAATTCTATCCAATTCTGAAGAAGACATCTGAAATGAAGTTTTATCCGGAATCTTCGTAATATCATAGCGTGTATATTGTGCATTATTTTGAAATAATATTGTACATTTTGTACATTATTTGAGAACATTGTTTATGAAATTCTTTATTATGTATTCAAATCTGTGAATTAGATTCTTTATTATAATGTTTGGATAAGAATCTATAATAGAATACAGCATTTTGAGATTTCTTAGCATCTTTTTTTCATGGTTCCTATTGTGATTTGCATTGTTTTTGAACCGCGACTCTTCTTTTTGCTCTATTCCAGAGGGATGTGACAGAGTTCTTTGAACTTTCCCCAGCTATGACTGTGTGAATCGAAGATTTAGATTAGTATTTAGTGTGATTGTTCAATCTGTCTGTATACTCGTATCAACTCGGTTACATATTTTATATTATTATATGTTTCCTATGTGTAATTTTGCCATACAATAAATAAAGAAATGTGGACATTCATACCTGCAGATCTTTTACCTCCAAGCTATTGTCTATTGGCTGTTGTTGTTGTTGTTACTAAATGCATACTTATCATACAGTGGAGCAGTCTGGACTCTGGAGACCTTTAAAGAAGAAAACCCTCATAAGCAGTAGGTAGGTTATTATTTTTCCCACATGTGTCTTTTCATTGTTTGGTAAATATTTTCATTTAAAAAATTTAACTCTTCCTCTCCAGCACTATAAAACAGGTCTACAGCAACTAACCATCCATCGATGTTTACAATTGTGGGGGAATATCCCAAACCCCGTGGGATTATTTTCAAAAGATGGATGGAGACAGGCTAGGGAACTCAGACCTCCACAGGAAAAGGACCAGAGAGAACAACTGTTTAAAACTCAAACTGTTTATTAACTCTTTAAAATCATACACAAGTAATTTGTTGTTGTTGTTCAGTCGCACAGTCGAGTCCGACTCTTCGCGACCCCATGGACCATCTCCCACCAGGCCCTCCTGTCTTCTGCCGTCCTCTGAAGTGGCTCAATTTCATGTTCGTTGCATCGATGACACTGTCTAACCATCTCATCCTTTGCCGTCCCCGTCTTCTTTGACCTTCAATCTTTCCCAGCATCAGGGTCTTCTCCAGTGAGTGCTCCCTTCTCATTTGGTGGCCAAAGTATTTGAGCTTCAGTTTCATTATCTGGCCTTCCAGGGAACAGTCAGGGTTGATTTCTTTGAGGATTGACTGATTTGATCTCCTTGCAGTCCAAGGAACTCTCAAGAGTCTTCTCCAGCACCATAGTTCAAAAGAATCTATTCTTCGGCGCTCGGCCTTCCTTATAGTCCAACTCTCGCAGCCATACATGACTACTGGGAATACCATTGCTTGGACCATGCAGACTTTTGTTGGCAGGGTGATGTCTCTACTTTTTATCATGCTGTTTAGGTTCGCCATCGCTTTCCTCCCAAGGAGCAGGCGTCTTTTAATTTCATGGCTGCAGTCACAGTCTGCGGTGATCTGGGA